AAAGCTTTCTGCCCATCATTGGGCAATGGCCCAGTCTGGTAGTATTCCTCTAGACGTTTCTCCACATGAGGAGAGAACTTCTTGGGTTCTGGAACATCAGAACCAAAAGTGGTACGTCGCAGAGCTTGCTGTTGATTCATAATCATCTGTCTCGTCAGGTTTCCACTACCCCCCAAAGAGGACGACGACTGTTGCCTCTGTAGTGTGGTAAGAGATGCTGTGGAATGCATCGGTCTCATGGATCGCTGGGATAAGCTCTGAGGGGATGATCCGGGTTGTGATGGCATATGTAAGGGCGAGAGTTGCTGAATAGGCGGGAGAGTACTCCTGACCACGGGTCCTGTTTGCCTGCCGTACGCAGGATCCCGAAAAGCTCCCATCTGGCCAGTCAACCCCGTAAGCTCGGTAGGTACAAATGTTGTGCCCGAAACACCCGAAATGAACGATGCGCTGTCATTTTCAGTTGGATAGCGGTTTGCGGGAACCAAGGTCCGCACCGATTGATTTCGGGGCTTCTGAGTCATTAAGTTATTCGATCGGATAAAAGCAACGAACGATGTTGCATGGTCTTCTGGCAGCAAGTCCCAGATAGAGACCGGCATGGAGACAAGGAGCATTGTTGAGTGACTCTTGAAAACACCCTGAACCTTTACGTATTTGGCCATAGCAGGGAAGGCGCCGAGCCATTGCTCCCATGCGTTGATATCAAGCCGCTGGTCATCCTCCAACGCCAAAGAAATCATGACATGAGGAGTATCTTCGTTGGGTTCAGTGAACATGTAGTCATTCCGTGAGACAGGCGTGGTAGAATCGGCCGCTCGGCCCGTCTCATGGGCCATCGCTGGTGTCGGTAGCGACTCAGGAGATGGCAAGTGATCGCCGCGAGACATACGAGACATTTCAATACTTGGCGCTTTGTGGTTGGAAGTCATCATGAAATGCACAGGGGTCGATCGGGCCTCAAAGTATTTGCCATTGATGGTGATGGGTCGAGGATGTTTTAATCGAGCAAGAACCTCGGCGTGGAGCATAGCAGCGGAGAAGGCTCGGACACGCCACTCCTGAAGCACTTCAATAAGGGCATTGGTGAAAGAGTAACGTCCGGGATCAGGGGCAATGGCGTCCCAGCTCGAAGCTGAGATAGTCTCGGTGATACTGGCTCCGCTGGGAAAAGTTGCGCTTGCAGCCCCAGCACAGCAATCTAATAGAATGAGAACATCTGATAGTGAGCGTTCGAGTAGAGTCTGAATCGCAGACCATCTTTTCTCGTTAGTCGTGTGGTTGTATGCGGGCTGAGGAGGGTCTTACTGAAGCCATGGCGAATTCGCCTCACGGGTACTGACAAAGTTAGACGATACTCATGACATGCCTGCGATTAGAACTACTTACGCACACCAGGTGCTTTGCCGAGACTCGTCGATTCTGGCATGGCCACCGTAGTAGACCACGAACAATGTATCCTGGGACTCGTGATCCTTGATCAGCTGACCTATGCGCATCATCAACTCCAGATGAGAGTTCTCTGAAGGGATGGCAAATATGTCAGTGTTAAAGCCATAGTCCTCACTCAAACACTTTTCAAGGTCCTCCAATTCAGGAATAACGAAGAGATCATCCGAGTTCCAGTGTAATAACAATGCTTGTACTTTGCTGTACCTGGCTGAGGACCGTCCACGATTAGGAAAAGCGCGGGCGGCGGACTGGAGAAGAGTTTAGAGATTGTTCTTGTGACGGATAATAGAGACTAACATCTTCAAGTCTTTGTGCGAATTGGCCGATGTGTTTGACATGAAAACTAGTACGGCTTGTGTCATGAGTTGCAGACCTGGCATAGTAATCTCCCCCACTAGATGCGGCCTGGGAAGTCGCATTTTTGTAAGTCGCTGTCTTATGTTTGAACGAAGCAAAGGATCAGACACACCATAAGGGGGCCAGTGCTTCTTGAACCTGGACCTTCGACAGGTCTTCGCGAGCGTATGGTAACGTATGGTTGATGATCGGCCATGGCGTCCAATGCGCAACTTGTGAATGAATGTACGGCCTGTTTCGCGGACCAGCCGGAGAACTCAATCGCCTCTGCTGCAACTTGACTGCCGGCTCTTGGTTGTACCCACGCCCTTGGTCGCTGGAATCGAGAATTGGGCAGCTCAGATGTGGTTCTTCTGTGGTCTCGCCCTCACTGTGGGTGGGTATCGTGCTCTAAAGCTATAGCGTTTGTCGGCTCACTTGGAAAAAAGGCATGATCGTGTCGTACAGCGTATCGTTGGTAGCATGCATATATGTATGTATGTATCTACGGCCGAGCGTTGTTTCACGGAGGCAGCAATGAGTATGTAAAAGGTAAATCTAGATTCTGTTGTAGTATTATCATCTCGACGGCAGGAGATTAAGGAAACGGAGAGGGATGATCGTTGGAGCGACTTTCTTCAATTCGCGACCGAGGCGGCGTGTGGCAGACTCACCCGTCCCTTCCTCAAGTTTGAAATGGATCGAGTGTCGGTCCCCAAATAAGCTTAGCGCCGACCGGAGTCACTGGCGGTAACCAAAGAGGAAGAGTACGAGGGGCAGAAGGGCTCGGGTATTCTGTGACACTGGCCAGTGCCTGATGCCCATACAATCCACGTGTACTGGGTACTTTATTGCTTTTTTCAAGAGCTTCCATTTGGCCAACCACTTCAAGCGTCGGTCACTAAAACCAACGTCACCTTTTGGGAGGAAGCATCTGCCAACCATTTCACACACCGAGCTCAACTACAGGGCGATTCACAAACAAGGCAGAAACATAAAATCTGTTTTTTCATTGGCTAGCTCATAGCTCATCCTCTAGACGCGATCCAAGTCTACTCCAGAGCTTTTCGACACGCGACAAGCTTCCTTGAAAGCTCTTAGGTCGCTGCTCACTTCCACACTAAGCTCTTGTATACCTAGTACCTAAGCAACACACGACACAACCAGGAGCAAGCATCGACTACCGCCATCATGCGTGAGCGTGTCACGTTTATCCACAACGACTATACCCTTGATCCTGAGCAGTTGGACAACCAAGAAGCTGGATTGCTTGGGCCTCAAATCGAGTCAGTCCGTCAGGATAAACTCACGATCCCCTTCGACGAGTTGCCTAGTGAGCTCACCGACATACTCCAAGAGTATGAGGCTCTTCATATCAGATGGGCTAGCCCTGTCAGATCCGAGACACTCGACCCTTTCACTTCACGAATTTCACCCGGGCTTCATGTCTATGTGACTCCGGAATCCCCAAACTCATGTAACCCGTACGTCGTGATCTCGAGTTGTGGCCACTTTAAACACTAATCCAGCATCCTAGAACAAAACTTTGCGGTTGGCTCCAGAGGTTTGGGCCACTAGCCTGTTCAAAGCCAGAGGTCAGTTCCATAAGCCATCTGACCAACAAGATGCTCACCAGCAACAGGCTTTCACCGAGTTTAAGCAACCAGCTACCTCCACAGTCCCGAACTTCTCATTTCATCAAACACTGGAAGATCTACACTCCTTCATAACTATTAGCTCCCGGGAATTCTGCCCTGACCTGGACACTGTTTGCAATGCCCGACTACGAAGCTTGTTGACCGCGACTAGCTTAGACTTATCCTTTGATAAGTCTGCAAAGGCTCTTGTCGCTTCTGTGCTATGGCCTCTTCGACTCCAAACCGTTGCTGTTCCTGCATCGACGGAAAGAAGGGTTGAAGTTGGCATTTTCGTTAACGACCGCTCGCAACCAAACATGAAGGAGAACGAACTTGGTGTCGCTGGCGTTCTATCTGTACTTGGCGACAAGAAAAAGCCTTCGCCAACCATCTTCACTTTCCCAGCCCGACACCGTCGAGATGAATCTGTATTTACATCTAGATTTCTCACCCCCACAGGGCTTCACCCAACTCTCCAGCTCAGCTTCAGCTCTAACAAGCCTCCAAGTGACGAGGGCGAGTGTGTGCCATACGCATTCTTGACATTACCCAAGGCTATATTTGCGGATCGTTATCAACTAGGAGACGATTTGTTCCTGGCCTCCAAGAACTTGACAGCTTTGCGATACACAACCCTACCCGTGGACTTGGAAGCACCAGCATACACCACAGAGACATGGGGGTCGAGTATTCTGCTTGAGCTCGCGCCACCTGCCTCTGAAGAAGGGCAGCCGTGGAATGTTGAAATCCCTCTCCACCTGCGATACCTCAAGCCTTCAGTGACTGACCAAGCCGAGGCCGATGTTCCCTATCCTGCTGTCTTCTGGGCATGCTCCTCAGGGGAGGAGACGCTGGAGAACCCATTTGATCGTCTCCATATTGGCTATGACAATCTTTTCCCTCGAGACACTGCCTTCTGGCACGTCACCCCTCAGCCAGAGGGTGGGAGCAGACTTATGCACCGTGTCACTGTCCCTGTCCTTAAGCTCGAGGGCATAGATACAATCAGGTCAGGCACGGCAATTGCTATTTCGCTAGGTTTTGCCTGGGTACTGTGGAAGCTGGTCGGTGTTATGCTAAACTCCGAAGAACCAGTGCTCAAGAAGACAGCCCCCAAGAGGTCTAAACAAAACAAGAAAGCTTGAGGCCAAGTTACATGCTGGTTTGTTTGGTCTCTGGTGCAATGGTGTAATATAGTATGTAAGAGAGATGTAGATGAGAATTCAACACTAATTAAATCAAGAGGACCAGGATTTTCCTCCCCTACTTGACTATCGGATTTTCGCTTAACTACGGTCTGAAACCTGCCTTAGCACCTACCTATAGTAGGAGGGTATTCTCTATCGCCCGACGCCTACTAAACGCTGTACACGTGACGTCAGACATTCAAGATAGTTGAACGCATTTCGACCACTGGACTAATTGATGGACTTCTTCAACTATCTCCATCTCCATCTCAAGTGACTTATCGACAACTCATAAAATTTTATTACTGTGACCCTGATTAAGTGATATAATCCAATCAAGGTTACAAGCTACCGTACCGTCCGCTCTGTGTTATCACAATGCCATTTGATGGCTCCAACACCATCATCAGACGAGTCACCCGCGTCGACGTCCGGCCCGGGCCTCACACGAGCGCCAGACTCACCGCAAAGCAAAATCAGACGAAATGTAGCCTGTATCAGTTGTCGTGACTCAAAGGTGAGTTGTCTCGACTGAGCTGAGTTGCGTATGGTCAATGCTGAATCTGGGCTAGGTGCGGTGTCGAGCGAGTCCTGTCACGGGACAGCCATGTCAACGATGCGCCAAGTTGCAGATCTCGTGCGTATACGACAGATCACACAAGAGAGTGACAAGGAGAAGGTAATAGTCTGACAACACTACTACGAAAATCACTCTCGAGTTTTCTTCTGCATCAGTGAGTAATATTGACAATATGTAGTAAACTCGAGCTTCTGGAACAAGAGCTCAGATCCATCAAAGAAGTTGTACAGCCCAAGAGTAACGCAGAGTCACCATCAGTCTCTCAAAGAAACGGAACTGTGTTTCCTACACAGCCGTCTCAATTGCCTCCAGTCACAAATGGAGCCGTCTTTTCATTATCCAGCAACCTGCAAAGCCCTCAACAACCCCAGTCGTTCGTGCCATCAGCGACATTGCTCGAAAAGACAGAGCCTACAAAACCTCGCATGCTAGATGGTAAATTGGTGTCTGGACAGGATATTGACTGGTACTTTGAGAAGTCTGACTCCCCTAGACTAATGCTAGCAGCAGTAAGGCTAATAGCTTCAGGTATTTGCAATACTATCACCCTTATCTACCCATATTGAGGAAGAAAGACCCAGATGAATGCTTCGAAGCATCAACAACTCTCTTCTGGACAGTAATATCGACAGCTTGTCGTCGATATGCTAAAGATGAACAACTTGTAACCGTACTCCTCGATTCTCTTAACCGCGACGTTTGGGGCCTGCTTCAAGCCATTACATTAGACCTCGAGTCTATTCAGACTCTCTTGATAATCTGCACTTGGCCATTCCCGACCATTAGGTTTGTCACCGATCCGTCGCCTAATTTTATAAGCAGTGCCCTCAACGCTTGCATGCTTCTCGGCCTGCATACTGGCCGAGGATCTCATCCAAGCTTCTTGATTGGGGGACGCCAGCACATGACATGCACAGACTATGAGGCATCCATAACGTGGGTGTTCTGTAGTATTCTCGCTCAAAGGTTTGTCTGGTCCTATAATGGCGTGTAGCCTTGATTACTGATAATGTGCAGAGTGTCTACAGGCAATGGGCATCCGCCTCCTTTCCTCCAGCATAACGACACCAAGTGCAAGGATGCCATCAAAGATAGTCTTGCGCCGGAGTTGCTCACCTTTTTTGAGCTACAGAAGTTTTCAAATAGATTACACACAGCCATGTATGCCCAGATATCGGCAAGCAATGGGGTTCCTGAAACCATCGTCAAGATGTGGGAAGATGAGTTTGAGCTTCTAAGACCCCTCGTCACCCGTGTCGAAACAGGTAGGCTCCCGGTAACACCCTTAGCCAGCGTGTCATTGCTAAAAGCCTCCATTCAGACTTCTCTCGTTTCATAATGCTAGTTGCTCAACTCGAAGTCCAGGCTTACTATTATATCTCGCCCCCTGACCAGCGCCCCAATTTCACCCTCAATACTCTCCGCACATACAATACCTCACAGAATCTTATCAACACAGCCCTCACACTCGAATCAATGTGCCAACTACTTACACACAGTCCCCACTGGGTCTATCGTGCTTTAGTCGATGCCAGCTGCATCCTCCTATCCACGCTACACTCCACTGCTGCCCCGCAACATCTCTCAACCTCAGACGCTGAGGTTGTCGCTGCGCAGGTTCTATCCCTTCTAAGAACCTGCTCAGTTCGTGATAATGACCTCCCCACACGAGGCTCCATCATTCTTGAGACTTTCTGGTCTGTAAGGCATTTACTCCCTAAGTGGGACATTCCCGTTGGTGCATGGCCGGATCGTATAGGTGCTGCCACATCGTATTGGTGTCTCACGGCCTTCAAGAATGCGTTGCAGGAGGCCAAGAATATCACAGATGGTACACAAAAAGGCATTGATGCCTTTCGTAAGTCTACACTCTTGGCTAGATGGATTGGGATTGCTCACATGTGCCATCTAGAACAAAGGCTCCCGGGGACCAACAACGGTGATAGTGACGAGGGCAATGGCAACGCTAACACAGACATCAATGGCCAAGAACACACTGTGGACAATACCATCGATCCCCTCCAGGGAATTGACTGGTCCATGATCATCGATGACTTTGGCTGGATTGGAGAGGGTCCCGTGTTTCTTGGGCCAGCATGATAGTCAAAGAAAGATTCAGTTGAATGGCAACTTCCAGTTCATATCTCTACAGAGAGAGATATTATACTTCCTGCAGTGTTTACTCGGACACAAACCAAATAGATCAAGGGTGAGCTATCCGCGTTCCCTCAGGACAACACCGTAGAGATTAAGTTAAAGCATGTCACATCATAGATAATGAAGATAATCTGAACTTTTGTTCCCATTTGTTTATAATCCAGTAGCTAAATACATAAAAACACCATAAAACCATAACTCCGTCATGCAATCATCACATTCGTCCATAAAAACAATATCACCACTCATCAGCGCTCCTTCAATCACCAGTTTTTACATGTACGTGCTTAGTCGTAGATGTCCTGATCCATGTCGTCCAACATCTCGTCGACTGCATCATCTTCATCAACCATATCTTCATCTTCTCCAAGTTCACTGTCGGGATGGTTGGAAAGCACAACAATCTTGCCATCAATGAGCTCAACACGCGCGTATTCGCCATCGCGGATGTTGTTGCGCAGGATGAGAATAGCAAGACGATTCAGAACCTCCTTTTCGATAAGACGAGAGAGAGGTCGTGCACCATAAGCCGGCGAATACCCGCTGTTTCCCAGGTAATCTTTAGCTTCGTCCGACACGTCGATATGGACCTTTCGGCCATTGTCTTCGAGTCGTTTCTGGATCTCGCCAAGCCGAATATCGACAATCTTGCGAATCTCCCTGCGTGTGAGACGATTAAAGATGACAACCGAGTTGATACGGTTGAGGAACTCAGGCAAGAAGTAGTTGCGCAAAGCGGTCATAACCAACTCGCGAGTACCGGGGTCGACACGACCCTCCTTGACGCCAGGTCGAACAAGGTATTCTGCACCCAGGTTAGAGGTCATAACCACGATGCAGTTCTTGGCGTCAACGACTCTGCCTTGGCCGTCAGTAATACGCCCATCGTCCATAAGCTGGAGAAGGACAGTGAGAACTTCCTTGGCAGCCTTCTCAACCTCGTCAAAGAGCAAGATTGAGAATGGCTTGCGGCGAAGAGCCTCAGTGAGCTGACCACCAGCATCATGTCCAACGTATCCAGGAGGCGCACCAATCATGCGGCTCAGTGCATGTCTCTCCTGGTATTCAGACATATCGAAGCGGATCATTGCCTTGGCGTCGTCGAACAGGAATTCGGCTAGGGCCTTGGTCAGAAGGGTCTTACCGGTACCCGATGGGCCACAGAAAAGGAAGCTCGGCGGCTGATTGGGATTACTAAGACCAGAACGCTGGAGTCGAATGGCGTTGGCGACAGATTGAACAGCTTCCTTCTGGCCAACAACGACCTTGCTGAGCACCTTTTCCATGTGGATGAGCTTCTCCTTCTCAGAGGTACGTAGGCGAGTGACTGGAATGCCAGTCCATCGAGCGACAATCTCGTTGATGTTATCTGCGGTGACGATGTCGGTTACCATGGCGCCACCAGAGTCCGTAGGGGCAGTAGCATTAAGAGCGGCGTCGGCAGCAGCTTTGCGAGCCTCAAGCTCCTTGATGACAGCTTCTTGTTCTGGGATGGCACCATACTTGAGATCGGCGGCCTTGGCGTGCTCAGAGTTATTCATGGCATCCTCGAGGCGCTTCTCGAGATCATCGAGCTTGAGCTTGGCCTGGTGTATCTCCTCACTGCGCTTGATCTCGCTCTGGTACTTCTCACGGAGAGGCTGCAACTCCTCTTCCACGTTCTTAGCATCCTTTTTAGCTTGTGCAAGACGAGTCTGGGACGCTTCGTCCTTTTCCTTCTCAAGAGCCGCAATCTCGATCATAAGCTGCCTAAGCTTGCGCTCGAGAGAGTCGATAATTTCGGGCTGAGATTCTCGAGCAACACGAACTGCTGCTGCAGCCTCATCGACAAGATCGATGGCCGAGTCAGGCAGTCGTCGGGATGTAAGGTAGCGCGCAGCCAGATTAGCGGCAGCTACGAGAGCGCTGTCGAGAATAGTGACTCGGTGATGACGGTCATATCGCTCCTTGAGACCTCGGAGGATAGAGACCGTCTCAGGGATGCTGGGTTCCTTGACAATAACCTGCTGGAATCGACGCTCAAAGGCGGCATCCTTCTCAACGTACTTGCGGTATTCCGCAAGGGTAGTCGCACCGATACAGTGTAGCTGGCCACGGGCAAGCATGGGCTTAAGAAGGTTGGCAGCATCCATGCCTCCCTCACCGGACGAACCAGCGCCCATGAGAAGGTGGATTTCATCGACAAAAAGAATGATGACATCCTTTGACTCGGTGATCTCCTTCAAAACACCTTTCATTCTTTCCTCAAACTCTCCACGATACTTGCTGCCAGCGACAAGTGCACCCACGTCAAGTGAAAGGAGCTTGCATGACTTCAAGTTATCAGGAACGTCACGGTTGACAATTCTTTGTGCCAGCCCTTCGATGACTGTGGTCTTGCCTACACCGGGCTCACCGATAAGGACAGGGTTGTTCTTGGTTCGTCGAGAGAGAATTCTGACAACTCTACGAATCTCCTCCTCTCGACCAATGACGGGATCGATCTTCTTCTCGCGAGCCATTTCAGTCATATCAATGGTGAATTTGGCCAGGTTCTCATTCTCCTCTTCAGTATCAGCCGTCTTGCTGTCGACTCGCTTTGTTCCCCGAATAGCCTGTACTGCTTCTTGTACCAGTTTGGGCTTGGGAATGTTGGCTTCCTTGAGAGGTCCTTGAATGGTCGAATCCTCAGACAGTGCAGTGATGAGGTGATCCACGCCAATGTATGTATCCTTCTGTACCTTCTGCAGCTCCATGGCCTTTCTTAGCACATTGTGGAACTGAGGTGCCAAAGAGACATGCTCAGGCGGGGGGTCTTGACTTGGGAGTCGAACGAGGGTTTTCTTGAGGGCTCGATCGAAGAGTTGAGGATCGCCATGTGCTCGCTCAACGACTTGTCGGAAGAGTGTGCTTGTGGGAGGAGGACCGTTCTGTTGATCCTTTGAAGGGTCCGGAGGAGGGTCGAGCAGAGACACAGCGAGATGAACCGGTGCAAGCTGGGAGTGGCCGTATTGTTCAGCCAAGGCCATGGCATCCTCCACGGCCTTTTGGGCACGGTCTGTGAAGTCCATGCGGCTATTCATGATTGTGGTGTTGTAGTGAGAGTGTAAACGATGGGTATTTGAAACAAGAGAATTATTTATGTATGTGTCAGTCGTACAGTAGTGTTGCCCAGTTATTAAAGTAGTATGTAAGAGAAGGGCGATGCCAGGTTTTCTGACTTGAGAAGATTGGGTATCGTTTGATGTTGTGGGGTATAGTTGCTTGCTGTACTTTTAATGCAGAGAAGAAAGAAAGTGATCCGGAAAACCGAGGATCAAGAGGTGAATTTATTCACGAATTAGGTGGATCTCATGGAATAATCAAGTCACTCCATGGAAGCATCTGGCGGAGGATATCGTCCGACATGAAGTATCGAGATCTTGATGGCAGGATCCAGCAAGATCAAGTCACATCAATACAAGCTCATGGAAACCTCCAGCCTAACCCATCAGCTTCTGGCAGCTTCCGGATTCTTCGACGTCATTGGAGCAAGGTCAAACCTGGAAGGTCCATGCTGAAAGTTTATTGGCTATATCCTTCTTATCTTATCAGCCGATGCTGTCAGTCTGATCTGCTCATACGTTTCCGAAAAGGGTAGCTAAGGCCGTTGGCTACTAGTTGCGGTTGCCAACTTCCAGGTGAAACGGCCAGAAAGACAAAGATCTCAATGGCGTGAGAGTCTTTTGATACCACAAAGCCTAAACACAAAGGATGGATGATAGCAGCCAGGTTTGATAGTTTGACTGAAAAGTTAAAATGATCGTAGATTAAAACAGCCCCAAAATAGAAATCGACCAAATCATTCTTCCAATCTCACGTGACCCTACGCTCGTCCGTGATTGAACCGGCGATACTGGCATTTTTTCCCATCAGTCTCCAGTACCAAGGCCACCTCAACTTCACAGTGGGCGACCATGAACAAGGCACCGACATCTCGACTGGGCCAATTGCCCAGCTACGTACGGATATGGGTGCGATACGGCCATTTCGGCAAGAAGAAGGATGGCAGAGGATTCCCTCCACCTGAGGGACATGGGGAGGATATCTGGGTATTCGGTCACAGAAGAACGAACCAAATTATTTACAGCTTTGATAAGACGCTAAACGTGAGTTCAATTATATAAAGTTCGTCATAAGCTGCATAGATGTGCTAACTTGATGTCGTAGGGTTTCCACGATCTTAAGCAACTTCCATTCAATGGTAAAAAGACAAAACCCGCCAAGCTTCGAAAAGACTACTGGTCTCCCTTCGCACACATCTCCTTCCCCGCCGGGCAAGGCTCCGTCGGTCGATCTGTCTTCCAAAAATTGCGCGAGTTGAAGCACCTGCACGAGGTAGCATGGGACGACGATTTCCGATATAAGAACCCCGAAGAGTTCAGTGAAGCCGACCGCAAGCGAGTGGCCCAGCAGAAGGAGAAGGGGAACATGAACCATCGCCCCATCCGAACCAGAGAGGAGCGCGGTATTGCTCTCAACGCCCAGAAGCCAAACTCCGTTGCCGACATAGCGTCTGTTCTGAGCGGCGCTGGCCGCGGTAACAAAATCGTTCTATCGGAAGATGCCGAGGGTATTGAGAAGAAGCTTTTGGATGTCAAGGTAAGCTGGGCAAACGACCAGGACAGAGAGTACGCCCAGAAATGGTCTGAAAACGTTACACATGGTCTGTTCGAAAAGCCGAGCTACATTTCGAACGAGCCCGAGAAGAAAAAGGAGGGGGAGAAGGCACCGGAGCCAGTGGCTGAATGAAGAACCCGAAGAGAGGATTAAAATGAACAAAAAGCCTCGGGAGATGGCATAAAAGTTGGTTGGGCTGGCGATTGAATCTTCTACGAACATCCAGGCCTTCCTACTTCAGTCATTATTGTACGTGTTCTACCTCCATTGTACAAAATGTGTTATTTTGGACTCCATCGGGTTGGACAATATGGAAAGGTGTGTCATCGAGTGTCTGGATACTTTAAAATGACATCCCGCAGACAGTTGGGAAACGTTTGTAGATGAAGGAGCATGTATATATTCATCGGGTGGCGTGGTGCCAAATTCGCTGTACCATAATAGCTGTACTATCACTATCAACCAAATCCAAACAGTCATAAATCATTCATTACCCCGGTTCGTCACCAGGTGCAAAAGTCCAATCTGACAGAGGGCGGAAACGCCAGAACAGGTCCAAACCGTAGAGAGAGAGAGAAAGCAACCCCTGAAAAAGCAGAGCGAGCACATAGCTAATTAAGTTAGATAGGTAGCGCAAACTGCTTCAGGTACTCGTAATCAGCTACGTTGTCCTCGACCGTCTTGCGGATAACCTTTTGTGCCTCAGGACCATACTTGGCGGTCCATTCCTTATCTTCTGACTCGGTGGTCATCGTCTTCTTTAGTTAGCAATGTCAGCCTTTTTTTCACCCTACCACAAGAAGCGCGAACGAACAGTGGATGTTGTTGCAGACCAACAGGTGGAGGGATAATGGGAAAGGGGCGATTATAAGAAATCGTTTTGACGTACCTGGTGATGAGTACGGGGCCTCAGAGCCGAGCTCTTGATAGCATCATTGTGCCAGCCATTCCATTTCTGGAAGGCAATGGTCGCATAGTTGCAATCTTCGTCATTCCACTCGAGCATCTCGGGCTTGAAGTCAATGCCCGTCTTCTCGCAGTAGAGACGAATGGTCTTCTCGGGATTATCGAGAAGATCATCAGCGTCGATAACAACGAGGTTGTCCTTGTCGACGATGTTCTCCTTGATCAGGAAATCAAAGAAACGCACGAGCTCCCTGTAACCGGCCTCATTGGGCATGAAGTCATAAAAACCAGTGACTTCGTCCAGAGGCGGCACCGTGCAACGGTAGTATGAGGGGATAGCTCGGCGAGGGTGGCGGATGAGGAAGGTGAATTGGAATTGCTTCAGGACCTCTAGTGGCAAAACAGTTGGGTTGCCAGGCTCTTCCTCTCCCAGAGACGGTGCAACCTTGGTAGGCTTGCTGTCTGGGGCCATGAGGTAGTAGGCCATGTCCTTGATGAAGATTCGCTTGCCCTGGGAGGTGTTAGTACATTGCATCAGTTTGATGAGTCTCTCATGGCGCGGGTTCCCGCCAATGGCGATAGAATGATAAGGATACGACATGTAACATTGATAAGCACATTCATGACCATCATGTGTCAATCGAGTGTCTGCTGCAGATAAAAAAAACTTGGCCGTGGCACATGTTTCTTGTTTGGCTTGCAGTTCCCCTCATTCGAGAAGGCGGGGAGGAGTGACGGGGAGTTCGGGGAGTTCGGGCGATCGCATGAACCATGAGGAGAATGGAGGGGAGAATATACTAACATCTTTACCCGCATCCATGACCTCGTTGAGGACGTCTTTGTAGGTCTTTTGCGAGAAACCACTCTCCTCACGAGTGGCAGTGTCGTTTCTGAAACGATCACTGAGGATCTCAGGACCATAGTAGAAGGCATCTCCAAAGGGTTCGTGAACGCTCTCTAGGATATCGCGGCGGGCCATGAAGACCTATTAAATAACCAGACTTAGCATTATGGCAGAGAGCGCAATCATGACAATTTCAACACTGGGGAGACGGCATGATCTTGGGATCTCGGGGGCTCAACATACCCGCTCAAAGGCCGTAGAGCACGCACGTGGGTGCGTAGCAGTAAAGATAGGGCGGAGCGCCATTTTGGGATAAAGAACCAAGAGTAAAAGGGAGATATAGCAGTTAAGTGTTGTCGCTGCAACATCAAGCTGGAGGAAGAGCAGAAAGGGTGAGGAGAAGAGCAAATCTTCTTGGACAAGAAACAGCAGACCAAGCCATTAAAAGGTATTCGAGACGCCCAGCGCCCAGTAGGCAGGTAGGTACCTGAGTACTCACAGAGTTTGCTGGAGAGCTTCCGGACCATCGCCCGATGGTAATTGTTGTAGCGATGGTCCGTAGGCTATTACCAACCTGGTTAGAACTTCCCACCTTGAACCTGGGCGTGTGGCCCATGAACGACCCTTAGTGGTCTCCCTCTGAGTGTTGCGCATACGGCGTGTACGTCATGTTGGTCGATAGTGGTCTCCGCTGGGGCAACTAGGACGAGATATCTCTCAAGTATCCGAGTTTTCTCGCTCCTCATTGATGCTTTTTGAGCCCATCCCACAGTCCCCCAGGGCTTTATCGGGCCCTTCGTTTTTTTTAATCCCTGTCCTTAATGACTTTGCAAGGCTTTCCCAAGGGTCAATTCCTCCGACCTGCCCCACGCGGCTGGGTCAAAGCCTGATCCAGGCCAATCCTGTGAATCTCAAAAAACGCATGTCTTTTTCCGTTGCTGTGAGTTGTGTCCTGCAAGTGCCTGAAACGGATTTGATAGCGTAAACTCAGCGTTGGCAAACATGTTCGCGTATCCCGGGTAGTGGGGGAGGCGTCTCTTTTTCCATGGATGTGTGCCACCCTGCACAAGAGGACATCGTGGTGCTGGTCTTGTGCAAGCATACATGAGTGTATCCATCTGAGGTACCTAAGAGCGAGACGTTGATAAGCGACCGATGGTCCGTCTACAAAAGCATTTGTCTTTGACGTGGAACGGCCAGGTGGTGGTACAGAAAATACAGTATGATCTTCAATGCGCCCAGGCCCTGCTAAAGAAAAACCTGCCAGGGCGACACTTAGAGAGCACGCAATTAGCCCCACTGGACTCACGGGGAGTTCTCCAGAGCTTCTAGAGCAACTGCTCTGTTTCCGCGGGGAGTTCGTCGCTTTTTGCATCGCGTGTATGCAATAAGTCAGGTGTTGCTAGTCTTCAGATTGAATGCACGTATATCATAGAACTGGTGAATAATTCGTTTGTTGCTTTTGTTAAAGTTATATGTATCTCTCCCAGCTTCCAAGCCACCTCCAACTCTCGGCCACACGACTGATTTTTTCTAGCGCCCCCTTGACCCGGCCCTCAGGATCGACATACTTGTGACCTTCAAATTCAATGAAGAAAATGTACTGGAAGGGTTTCACGAGGCTTGGTAGAGTGTTGATGCTGGTCAAGTTGATGTCGAATGTTCGGAAGCAGCTCAACACATCTGCCAAAGCTCCAGGCGATGTGTGGGGTACTGTGAAAGAGACCAACGACTTGCTTCCCTTCTCGGCAACAGCCTTTTTGGTTTGTACAAGGTCCTTCGGGCCTGCAGCATTCTTCCCAATCACGAAGAAACGGGTCGTGTTATCCTCTCTGTCCTCTATCGATTTTCCCAGAAAATCGAGACCATGAAGTTTAGCAGCAAGCTCGCTTGAGATGGCGGCCCAGGTACCCGTTGTGTCCTTACTGACAATTTCAGCTGCCTTGCTAGTTGAGCTGACTTCGAAAATTTCGACACCCTTGAGATATGTGGAGATGAAAGCGGTGCATTGGCCAAATGCTTGGGGGTGCGAATATAAGCGTTGAATGTGCTTGAGGCTCGCCAGGGGCCTGGACCGTGGTTTTGAAGGTGACGGGTCTGTCGCTGTCGGGGTGCAAGTACCGGACCCTTCAGTAATGTCTTCGACAGCTGGCACAGGGCTCTTGTGACCAACAAGGCAATGGTGAACGTCCACGTATGTCTCGCCATCGACAGTGATATCCGGATAATGGTTCGTTCTGTCAGCCAGGTTGTCCAAAGTGAAGCTCACAGAACCATTGGTGGAGTTCTCAAACGGCACAACACCAGCTTGGACCTGGCCACTTTGGACCTGGTCAAATACGTCTTTGCCAGGAAAGTCAGTACGGACATCCCGACTGCGGTGCATTGACTAGAACGTACCGTCAATAGTAACTGCAGGGGAGAATTCCCATGTTGACTCAGAAAAGGCCTGACGGACAGCCTATGAAGCGAGGTCAGTCAGGGCTAGTGTCATGCGGTCGTCGCTATAGAGCACAACTATAGGATAGGCTTTACCTGATGGGTGTATGAGGCCACTGGGCCGAGGAAGCTGACAACAGGTTTGTGTTGGCTGGCCATGATTCCTTGGTTATGATCGTTGTCACCGGATCAACTGAGATTTTTTGATGCGGCGTCAAACGGAATTGGGGTGCAGCGTGACTACACTTTCAGCTCCGACTCTTAGGGTTGTTCGTACACCAAGAATGGTTAGGTCTCTGAGAATGTAGTGCTGCAGTGTCTTGCTTGAGGATGAGGCTGTCACCAAGCTGTGGGAATTGGGATGAGACGCAGTCAATTGGCTCAGTGACGAAACTTCTCGTGTGCCATTCCGTCCTATCTCGTCTATGGGTGTCTTCGAATTTACCTTTTGCCTGTCTTTGACCCAATTGAACACCAAAGAAGGCGTTGGCGATGTCGTGCTAATGTCGTGATCGTGGGGGAAGAATGAATTGCCTCCCGGTTGTGTAATGAAAAGTTGCAGGGTAACTAATACGGCACTAACATTTTTTAGGCGGTCAAATACGGGGTTTGAGATAGTGAGCCACTTGTTCATGCGGGGTTGGAATGGCCTCTACGAGAAAATGTTGGTTATGGCTTGGTAAGAGAATAAAATAATCAAAGTCCTGTGAAACGAGACCATGCCTCGTATAAAACTTATACAAATAACAGAGCCCGGTATTCTCATGGAGGTGAGAAAATAAAGGAGCGAAAATGTTAAGCCATGGCGTTTCTCTTTTCTCATTTATGATTGGAGTATCGGGGGGTACAGGGACACAAGCCGACATCGCTGCCTCTTTTCACCTTACAAGAGACTACCCTGGAGAATGGCAAAAAACCTAAGACTTGGATCTAATGAAGGATGGCGATACATATGAAAGGTCTGATTGATAGTTGTGAGTATTGAAATCGTCTCCTATGAGCTCTGCTTTTCTAAGGCGGTTGTTTGAATTGACTTGACCTAGGGTAACAAAGGAAATACATAATACCATACACAAACACATATAGAAGGGTATCATAAGTAAGGAAAAGACTTAGGTGAGTTACATAAGACTTAAAGGTAACTTCCAAATAGGTAACTTAGTAGGCTCCTGGGCTAATCTAGAGGTTAAGGGGCTGTCTTCTCTTGATCTAGTACTCAAGAGAAAGAATACCTGTAAGCTACTTAATTATAAATTTTATAACGCCTTGAACTAAATAATCTACTCTTAAACACATTAGATGTAACTATTTAAAAGGGCGTAACAAAGAAAGGCACGATGAAAGCCCAGCATTCTTCCTGTGATGTGCTATCGATTTAAACCATGCAGCAGGCTGATAGTGCAACACAGGACATAACAAAACCTTGGGCCAGTCATAATCGAACGGAACCGGTTGTATTGAAAACTATTCACTATTTCTCAACTGTTCTTTCATCTCACAAATTGATCTGCAAAGCTTGCCCCGAGTCCAACAGCTTCATAGTGCTTTCGTGCCCCAACTTGCTAAAAACATCTTCCACGCCAACAGGATTGCCATCAGGGTCAACATAGATATAAGCTCCCGTGACATGAAACATGGTCACCATCTCCTTCACGTCCTCCGGAACCTCGAGGGTATGAATGTCTCCAGGGGGTTCAAAGGCATAACTGCCCTCTGTTGCCCACCACGGATGTTCTAGATAATGCCAGCGGCCCTTGAGAACTGTTGCGTGCACGCAACCAGCGTGGCGATGACGCGAGAGGATACCAGATCTCCGGACTCGAAGAATGTTGACAAAGTAGCCGCCAGAAACGGAGAGAAGGAGAGGTCGGAACCAAACGTCTGGTGCTTGTGGGACCCAGAGACGCTCGTCACATTCAGAGTCGAAGATTCCTGGAACGACGAGGTCATCAGGAACAGCGGGAAGACGGGGACCTCGATATGGAACAGCAGTTTGATCCGCACGTTCTTTGAGCTCCTCTTTCTTCGAGGTATTTGCTATCGTGGTGACAATTTCCGTTGTAGTAGCCATCTTGGTGACTGATAAGATTTCGTTGGGTATGAGAAGGGAGAGTTAGTTTGTACTGGTGAGGGAAGCTTAGAGACAGGCTGGTGTTTTATAACCCTTTACCACCAGGCGGTCAACACATTGAATGCTATGTATCTTATATGTAGATTCTAATGCAGCAGAGGTAGTGAGGTGATAAGAGTGCAAGTCTTGAAGCCGCATGGCGCAAAATCTGGCGCCAACGGCGGCCCCAGATCGTGGGTGGAGCTTAATTGAATGAAGGCCGTATGTCGCTGACATATCTCCCGGCAATGAATTTGTATTCAACGTGAGAAGGAGGAGAAGCCTTTTCTCGGTATTCGGAACTTCGCAATTACGAAATGGAAAGCTTCCAGCCCCGTTGCTTCACCACATCTGGCCAGTCCACCTTATCTTGGTCTTTCCTCCTTGATCCATCCATTCTTCGCCGCCATACCTCATCAAGAACATCGAGACATACTTCAACGTTTCGGAATTTCCGCCACTTGATCATCTCGCCAAGCTTCTCTCTAATGATTACTATCTCACTTGCCTCATGGGCTTCTCCTCCCGCCATGAAAAGGGGGAAAAGGAGGGTGCATTCCACGAGGCAGCCCTCTGACACTTGTCTGCTAAGCTTACATATCGACTCTACACAAGCCTTCAGCTTCGCTTTCAGAATGCTAGAATAGCTTTTAATGTAGCGAGAAAGGGTTCGGTAAAGATGAATGAGCGCCGCGTTGCGGTAGGCTTCACCAAGCAGCGCTAGCGGTGAACCATCGTGGCCCGCAGGGCAAACCCAACTCTGGAGCTCACTTTCTATCTTGTGTGAGCGTTCGGCAAAACTATGATCGCCGGTCTGTGATCCCAGTTCTGCTTCTGCGAAGTCGGCATTCAGAATGCTGGTCTCGGAGATGAGATAGAGTATCCGCGACGCAAATCCAAAGTAGGGATCTGCAAGTGTGTCATCCTCTGAGTTCCAGTAGAACCCCCTTATTAATGGACGACAGTCCATCGAGACACTCATCATGATGTCGTGATAGGCGAAATTGCGGAGAAGCCACCTCCCCTCAAAAGTAGCCTGAACAGCTTGCTTCGGATCTACCACCGCGAGAGAATCCTCTGTCTGCCAAGCTAATGCAGCAGCAGCGCCTTTCAAGTGAGGATACCAGGCATCGGTAGCCTCGGATATTGACTCCATAGAACAGAGGACCATGGTCACAGCAAGGCACATCTCAGTTGACAGCTCACTCTGCTTCATTGACTTTTGAAGCTGAGCCAAAGCATGTCCGCGGTGCCTTAGTGAATCCGCTCTGAACTTCCCGTCGCGTAATGCTAAGTGGGAAGAAGCCCATGCTGAGACGGCATACATCAGGGCAGGGCACTCGAACGCCATGGGAAGAATAACTTTTCAGGTAAGCTGATGAAGTTATCTAGATGCCTAGTGTTCAGTGCACATACCAGAGAGAAAACAGTTGTTTTCGAGATTCGTAGTCAGTAGAAACGCAAGAGTCACGGTGTAGTAACGCAGCATCACTCGTCTGCTTCCCACAAGGTCTTTCGAGTCGGCGTCACCAGGTTCCAGCGATAGTCCAAGAGGTTGACATAGTTGCGTGGCCTCTTTGATTTGCTGGTCTACGCTCGGAGTTCTCATAACTCTTGTCTCGGTCGCTTCAGAACCTCCCGTTGCGGCCCCAGGTGACGATAGCACTGAGCGTGGAGGCTCACGCTTGCATACTAGGTTGAGACGCAAACAGTGACTGCAGATAGGGTAAAACTGATCACATTTCTTCTTTCTGGGATTGATTAGTATACCAGTAGCGACCTAACTGATGCATGAGGCCCTCGACATACCGTTGACGACATGTTAGACATCCACGCTTCTGTCGAGTATAGCCACCTCTCCGGGTTGAAGCCGAAGGTGGGGTTCTAAGTGATCCGTTCATGGGACTCAGAATCTCGATCCCGTTCTACTCTCATAGGGGCCCGAATGAGCTTTGAAATGACCAAGAGCGCTATGGGCGGTGATATAAAGAAGAAGAAAAAAATCAGAGAGGAATGTTTGAAGATTGAAAGTTTCGGGCCACATCCCGTTATCAACGACACTCATGCACGGCGCTATGGGCGGGAGAGGCTAATCTGAAGATGGATATCCGGTAACGTGGGGCTGTGCGGGGAACCTAATCCTGGGGTAGATCGTTGCAGATATCGAACAACTTATAAACGGCGAGTCAGAAAGGAGCAGACACAAGTAAAGATGTTGTAATACTGCAAGATTGATTGGAGTTGCTAACTGTAGCCATGGGCCGCACCGATGTCTTTTCTCAAAAGGCTAGGGCTTATGGAGCTTAGACAGACTGACAGCCATTTACTTGTACAGTACGGTACCTGAAAGGACATCGGCACTTAGAACTATCTATTTTGAAGCATGCCTAGAGTCACGCCCCTTGAATATCAATAACCTCAGACATTACAGTCTGAATAGATTCCTGTAGAATGCCGACCATCCGTCCCAGTTCAGACTCAGTTACCACATATGGGGGAGACATTATGACATGATCAACATGCATATCTCCAGTTTCACCCAGGTTTCCCAAAATATTCAAGCCCAGATCAAACGCCTTGTCCACGATCTGGTGACACAGTCTCATATCTGCTGGGAAGGGTGTTTTGGTGCCACGATCCTGAACGAACTCAACGGCCCAAAAAAGACCACGCCCACGGATATCGCCGACATATTCCATATGTCCAAGATTTGTTCTCAGGAGCCTCTCCAAGACCTTACCCATTTCTCGGACGTTAGTGAGAAGATCTTCATCACGAATGATGCGTTGAGCCTCGAGAGCTGCAGCGCAAGCGACCGGGTGAGCCTATTGAGAATGTCAGCCAGTTCCATGTGAACTTCTTGTCATATAAAGGTTACCTGGAATGTGTGCCCATGTGCCAATCCCTGAGATCCGTCTGCGAGGGCGTCGAATATCTTATTGCGAAGCAACACGCCAGACAGGGGAACAAACCCCCCACCAAGAGCTTTGCCTATCATCTGAATATCAGGCCCTGAAATGGCCTCCTGTTCCCAAGCATGCATAGTGCCTGTTTTCCCCATACCGCACATGATCTAAGATGTATTAGACACTATGTTCATCGGGGCAATATGTATTAACTCACCTCATCCAAGATCAAGAGGACATCATGTCTGTCGCAAATCTCTCGAACAGCTTTAAAGTATCCAGGTACAGCAGGAAGGCAACCTAGAGTAGTTCCACTGACAGTCTCAGCCACAAATGCAGAAACGTTCTCGGGTCCAATACGGAGAATCTCTGCCTCAAGTTGATCTGCCAGTCGCTTGACATAATCTTGGTCGGATTCGTTTCCCTTCAGCCTATAAGCGAAGCAGGGGTCAACGAAGCTGACATTATGAGAGAGCCAGTGGCGGTACATGGCCCTTCGAGATTTGTGGCCAGAAACGCAGAGTGCTCCAATCGTGTTTCCATGGTAGCTCTGTTTTCTTGCGATGACATGGTGTTTCTGGGGCATTCCTCGCTCATGCCAGTATTGTGTTGCGAGCTTGATAGCAGCATCGGTGGCTTCGCTTCCAGAGTTGACGAATATGGCCTTGGACAGGCCACCGGGTTGCCCTTGTAGAAGCATCGACGCAAGCTCCTCGTTCACGTCGCAAGTGAAACGTGCGCCAGAGTAGAGATAAGGAAGCTGGTTCATCTGGTTCGCGACCACTTCAGCAATCTCTGGACGTCCAAAGCCAAGACATGATACGGCTGGTCCGGCTGAAGCATCAAGGATTTCACGACCAGACTCAAGAGAGAGAGATACACCTGAGGCAGAAACGACTCTTTCAGGTTGACGAGCGAATGAACGATGGAGAATGTTTGAGTTGGAGACAAAAGGGTGAGCCATCGTGGATAGTTGATGTTTATGGTCTGTTACCAGATGCCAGATCTGAATCTTTGAGACCTAGGCTAGCTAGATATATTCGACGTATCACCAACTATCTTTCAGTCTTACTCGATATCTACGATACTTAGGCGACTTTGTCAGAGCCTCCGTACCAATCCCGAACTTATCTCTCATGAACCCCCCTCATGAAATCCCGCCGTTGGCGCCGGATGAGCTTCATAGCGGCGCCAACGGCGTGGAAAGGCCCAGACCATCAACTACTGATAGACAGGGTTTCTCCACACTTCTCCGCGTTGAAAGCCTCGCGCCTCCATATACGGGCGATAGGCAAATTGCTAGCCGTCCGTGTAAGTGAAGACTACCAAACCGAGGTGAGGAACACCTTTCGCTATCGGCTTGGCCTGCCTCATGTTATCCATGAAGATACCTACCTCAGTACGTAGTAGTTTTATTAGTGCATTAAAACTTTCTAATGGCCAAGGTGCCCTGCTTACATGCCATGGCCGCTTGTGGTGACTTGTGTGGTAGTTAGTAGTATGGGTGTTCTTGTTTAATATAAAAATGAGCAACAAGAATCCCCTTTTCACGTCTTTCACGTCTTTCAAGACATTCCTATTCTCTCCTTAAATCTCTATTCAACCTTGTCTCGCTGGTGCATCAATATTCATTCCAGCCATGCCAGAGTCTATCCTCACGAGTCCGGGGCCCCATTCTCTCAAAGCCAGGGATGAGCAAGAAAAGTCCCCAAGTCATCTTGGTGAAGTTGAAACCATTCGAAATGGTAGCTCCGACCCCGAAAGAAACGAAGATACACACCGTGGCTTCAAGCCTCGGCACTCTCAGATGATAGCCAAAGGGGGTGCTATTGGAACTTCACTGTTCCTAGGAACCGCCCAGGTTCTTCGCATTGGCGGTCCTCTGTCCCTCCTGATTTCGTATGGAGTCCTGTCTATACTGATTTACTGCATCGTCACTGGAATTACCGAGGTTGCAACTTATCTCCCTGTTCCAGGAGGCACTATGGCCTACTACGGACACAAATATGTGTCTCGCAGCATGGGCTTTGCAATGGGATATCTCTACTGGTACTCTCTTGGCATCTTGATCCCCTACGAATTCGTCGCTTCTACACTTCTCATCAACTATTGGGGAACTGCGGTTAATGGCGCTGTGTGGATCACCATCATATATGTTATCATAGTCATTGTTAACCTCTTCCCTGTCGGAGTCTTTGGAGAGTGTGAGTTTTGGAGCGCAGGGATGAAAGTTCTCCTCATCTTAGGCCTCATCTTTCTCTCAATTGTGTTGTTCTTCGGGGGAGGTCCTGACAGAGATGCTCTCTACTTTCGATATTGGAAAAACCCTGGTCCAGTGAACACTCATATCGTGGAGGGCGATGCCGGACGACTTGTTGCACTGCTTCAGTCTTTTGTTCTGGCATCATTTGCATTCGTCTTGGCTCCTGAACAGCTCATTGTGACAGCGGGCGAGATGCAATCGCCACGCTATAACCTCCCCCGAGCCGCTCGACGATACATTTGGCGGCTGATCGTTCTTTTCATGCCCTCCGTCCTCGGGATTGGTGTAGTCTGCGCATCAAATGATCCCCGGCTTACAGCACCTGGGACTGCGCGCTCTCCTTTCATCATCGCCATCAAGAACGCCGGCATCCCTGTCCTGGATAGCATCTCCAATGCACTGATCCTCCTTTCAGCGATCACGGCTGCGAACGCATTCCTCTACTCTGCCTCTCGAAATCTTTATTCACTTGCAAAGGCCGGAAATGCACCTGCGATATTCAAGAGATGCAATAGATATGGCCTTCCATATTATGCAGTCTTGATCACTGCCTCCCTTGGATGCCTAGCTTACCTCAGCCTGTCAAATAGTAGTCTGACGGTCTTCAACTGGCTAATCAATCTCACCAATACCTCGGGCTATATTAGTTGGATCTGCTGTGGTATAATTTACGTGAGATACCGCAAAGCCATCACTCATCATAAGTTGGAGTCCCCATATCGCTCTCGTCTCCAGCCATGGGGCATGTACTTGGGAGTCATTGTGTCCATGATTCTTTTGCTCATCAACGGATTCACTGTTTTCTTTCCTTCACAATGGTCGGTGGGTGATTTTTTCACGGCTTACATCGGCATTCCTGCGTTTCTGCTGATCTACTTTGGCCACCGACTGTATCATGGGGGAGATAGATGGGTTAGAAATCCTGAAGATGTTGATATGTATGAAGGGATGGATGAAGTACTGGCTGCAGAAAGACCACCGCCTGCCAGGGGCAATATCACTCGGAGACTGTGGGCCGTGGTAGAATAATCTTTGAAGATCTGCTCTGGCAAGATAACCTCTGACCCTAAGCTTGGACACCAAAAACAAGCAGTCTGAAGGTCCACCAAGACTAATATAAGTTTATATGAGTATTCTTGCTATTTAGAAAAGAGGTCTCAAATCGGCCTGCCTCCCCTTTAATAGTCTAAAAGGACATCGCATTCCTGGTACAAGCTTCATTTTTGCCTATGATGTTCTATACCGAGCGTATTAGAACAGTGAGATATATTTGAGAATGAACAGTTCAGCTTCAAGGGGTGATGGGATTGATAGGCCATAGCTGATAGTTATCCTTCTCGTGATGACCAGTCCAACAGATGAGAGACTTCTTATCTCTAATTACGATACCAAGAATAGTTGGTCTAAGGCTCTACTAAGCTATCCCATACCAACTTAACTCCTATTAAATTTACCTGAGTCTTTTTATCATTTCAGTTACGAGTCTTAATTCTCTTACGCAGTACCTCCCTTGGATCTATGCATTGACCGTTTCGTCCAACTGCAAACGCACCGTATATTGAAGGACCCCCTTCAATGTTCGCGATACTGGTAAAGATGGATATGCCGGAGGTGATATGAAGGAGATGATGATATGCTGGTTCTCAATGCTAATTATATCATCGATGCTTGTGCATAGGACCCACAGGGAGGTAAACCGGCGGTGATACTGATAGTATCCAATGATACATACAAGCATTGCAAACAAATCGATCGGATCGTAGGGCCGGGCGACAATTAATATCCATGTGCGCCTGATAATCCTTGACAACCTCCTTATAACCTTGGACCCTATACGTCGCATTGACTCGTGAGGACCCAGACTTTGAGATGCCCCTATCATATTGTTGGCACATATAGGACAAAGCTCAGAGGAGTGCGTGGGTTCTGATATCAGATCGCCCACTTTCCGATCAACAGAGAGTCCAAGCGTAGAAAGTAGGCACGGATTACGAGGCCAGTTACGATGACGGAGCTCGTTTGATGACCATACTATGGATTTACTCCCTACAGACAATGGTCTGCAGCGAGCTTAGCCGAAGCGTAGATTTCCATCCAGGGGGGTAAGGCGCCTAATCAGTGGTATTGACCGAAGCAATGTGGTCACTGCAAAGGATGGATATAAGAATTAAAGTTCTGAAGCTATACTACATGCGCAATGCATACCCCGGATAACACGAGGGACTCATCAAAGATAACAAGGAACAAACGATGCCGAAATTAGAAGTTCACGATCACTGATAGCTTGATAGGTGATGCGATTGTGGACATGGCCTGACAGCCCTCCATTCCTCTGAGAGGTCGGTAAGCACGTGGTAAGCAATTAAGTTACGGCTAACTTACCATTCTTATGCAAGATGGGAAGAAGCAAGTCACCCATTTCAGGACAATCAACCACTACAATTCAATAGCTCGTTCACGGACATTTTTTTATTCCTCAGTTGTTTCTCGAACGCATTGGGGGAAACTAGCAACACGCTGTTGTTATTTCCCTGCATCAAGCTTCACAACCAGCGGGAAAACAACTGGACAGCAAGGCACAGTATGGCACAGCGGAGAGAAATGCGCTCTTTTAACTCAGACGGCGTCATCCGAGTGGCCCTGGTCGAAACACGGTCTGTTTCATCAAGGACCAGCAACCGGCCTATCAAGACAATTTACAGGCGCCTCGATCCCAGCTGCCAGGGTCTAGGCTCACTTTGTTTCATGCTCCGACGCTCCACGAATCAGCAAGCCAAGTAGGAGGTTGTGTATTTTGGTGACGGTGAGTTACACTCAAAGACACAATATCTGTCGCTGCCCGTTTTTGTGCTTCGGTTTCAAGTTGTGATGATTCTCGTCATGGCGCTAATTCATATCGTCCGTCCATCTATCTTTGGAAGAGCTGGCACGACATGTTTCGTGGGCGGAGACTGTAGAACATACTTGAAACTCGCTCGCGCGCAACCATGGTCAGCAAAAGCCCTAGCCTCATCTCTTGTGCATGAAGGTGACCAGAATTCCATCTTCTATGCACTCGAGATTTTAGCGGCGGCTCTGCCCTTGTCTTTTCGTCACGATCAGCGTGGCATGTGGAGCTCTTTTTCCCTCTGGAACTCTGTAACGACGCCGCGCGATCAGATCGCCCATCCCATCATCCCTTCCATCTGGTCTGGTCTGGTCTGATTCCGGGGATCGCTTCGTGTTGACCTCTTTGTGCATACGTATTGTTCACGGTGGAGTTTTACTCGACTCTCGGGTCATTCGTAGCATCAACAATTGCTCCCTGTATGTAACATGTTGTCGGGCAACTCTTCAGGTCCTTCACATTAGCGAGTCAGCAGCTCATCCAACCATCCGGCGTCTATTGATTCGTGAGTCTTCCATCCATCACAGCGTGATTATTAGCCTACAGGGGCCACATCTGACGCTTCAGAACTGGCCAAGCCCATCCCCCCCCCAAACCTGAACCAGGCTACTAAGGTAATGAAGCACCACTTCACCGTCTACGGAGGTACCTGTAGGTCTTGTAGATACCTGGCTGATGCTGCTGATAGGCACTACCAATGCGCACTAAAATGTTCTAGCTCAAAGTACCCGCTGTCTTGGTGGTACATTCGCCGCAACCACCGCCAGTCCCCTGCTCATTCTCCATTCCCCTGCACCCGAGCTGCCAAACCGTTCCATTCCCCCTCGGGCCTGGCCTCTTTGGCTAATAATTTGTATTCCACCTCACCATTGTCCGCCCATCGTCACTCTTTCTCCTCCAAACCTCACCTCACCACCAAAAGCTCAGCTTCAGCTTTGCTGGATCTGGACTCGGACCTGGATCTCTCTATACTCTTCTTCATTTCTTTATGAAGTGCTTCGCGTTGATCGCAGTTTCTCCTTGTTTGGCTCCGCGTTACTAATAATACAGAATAGAGCTTCCATTGGCTCTATATCCCATCCTCCGCCACTTCGCACATACCCCAATCACCATCGGGTGAGCGAACATCGATCGACTCAGCTGGGTCTGGGTATCCCACCTCGTTTTGGTGTCTCAGGCGCCGCCATTTGACGACGAGCCATAACTTGAATCACACCACTTGCAAACACTCTTGGCTGCGTATTCAGCATGGCCATGCTAGCTTCGAAAGCGTCGTTTCCCGCCGGCTTGGGTGCTTCGTCTCTCACTCCTGTTCCTTCTCAACCCACAATGGCCCCTCCCAGAAGAGCTCCCACGATTACCCCTTCAGGTGCTTATGGCAGCCCGACAGAATCCGAATTCAACGAGAGCGACCCCGCTGAATCCGTCAAGAACTGGGACGAAGAGCAAGTCTGCGAATACCTGCGATCTGTAAAGTGCGGCGAGTATGAAAAGATCTTCCGGAAAAATCACATCAACGGCGAGAATCTCCTGGAAATGGATAAAGATGTGCTTAAAGAAATGGGTGTTGAGAAGGTCGGCGATCGCGTCCGCCTTTTCCTTAGCATCAAAAAGCTGAGAACCCGGGCATATGCCAACGAGAAGAAACGAAATCGGGTAGGCCACATCAGCGATGGCTATAGTTGCTGGGCTCTCAGACTGACCGTTCGTGTCTAGGATTCATTTGGCGGACTCGATATTCACATCACTGCACCCCATGACTCGCCAAGAATGCACACGTCTCGAGGTGTTCCGACATCTGCTTCCAACAAACGGTTTTCAAGGCAAATGGATTTGCACGGTGCTTTAGATAATGGCATTAATTCCTCGAGACCAAACTCCCCTCTCCCTGGTACCGATCTGCGGAACCTAAGGGCCCGAGGGAAGACATATGTCACAAGCCCTGCAAATGCTCAAGGCCAAAGGATTGTCATTACCAACCCGGATCTTCCGGCAAACCGTCTGGTAACGACCCATACCAGGAATAACTCCAGTATGGACGGTTCACTGATGGCTGCCTTACCACAGGGTCAAGAAGTTATTCGCGTTATATCAACTGGCGGCGTTACGAAGGTTGTCAAGATTTCCGCGTGTAGTACTTGCGAGGAGGTGATGCGGGTGACTCTTCGAAAGTTCGCTCTGCGTGAGGATCACGAAAGAAATTACTGTTTCTGGGTTTTGGCTGGCATCGATCCTGATCCAGGCCAGTGCCGACGACTGGGCGATACGGAACTTTGGCGCATTATCAAGGACCAACGACGGCCGGAACGAAATCGATTGATATTACGGAGGGTTCCAGCAGGCGAACCAGGGGAGGCGGAACTGCAGCGCGCTGCTGCCATTGCCATGGAAGAAGAACAACAGAAACACGCCCGTGCTCTGGAAACAGTGGACAAGCGTAGTCAACTTAAGGTGCAGAAGATGCTTGGGGAGAAATGGAACGATCAACTGCAGTCCCCATTGTCGCCAATATCTTACCAGGACCGGGAACGAAATCTACATAACGCAGCCAAGGATCTGGAGCGCCCTCCGTCAGAGATCGAATCGCGGCCGGCTCGACGTGTCGGAGCCCTGCGACAGTTTGGCGGTCTTCGACCTCCCAGCGAGTTGATTGCTTCTGATCTCACCTCGTACTTCCCTGACCACACCAGAGAAGACATTGACCGCACAGCCCGACTTTCCATGCGACGGTCAACTCGCTTGAGCAAGGTCAACAGCCGGCTCAGCGTTGCTAGCAGCCTCAGCTTTGCCTCCAGTATTCAGGATGCGCCTCCCATCCCAACCATTGCTGATTCTTGGCTTAATGCCAACTCTCAGCTTGCCAAGGTGAAGTCTCGGGACTCTCACATTCGCGTTCCCCAGAATGCCTACAACCGGGATTCAGTAACATCATCGGTTCTTGACACCCTTCAAGAGGAGTCTTCCCTCGAGCCCAATCGCAAGTCTTATGTCTCTTTTACTGAGAGTGGCTCTGACTCGGCTGCTCTGAGTGTCACTGACCCTGAGGGCAACACCACGGCCACAAGCTACTATGATGGTGACAACTCAACGGGCTCCGGATCATTCCAGGAGCTTCGCCAAGCATTGACCAATGATGGCGACGACGTGGACGAGGAGCTACAAAGCTTCCTGGCTGGAGAGTCTTGGGGCGACGACAAATGGATGAAGGGTGCGCTTATCGGCCAAGGTTCGTTCGGCAGTGTGTACCTGGCCCTCCATGCCGTTACTGGAGAGCTTCTCGCTGTGAAGCAGGTCGAGACACCTGCTCCTGGAGCCAACAGCCAGGGCGACACACGCAAGAAGGGCATGATCGAAGCCCTCAAGCGAGAAATAAGCCTTCTTCGCGATCTTCGACATCCTAATATTGTGCAATATCTTGGTTGCAGTTCTTCGGCTGATTATCTCAATATTTTCCTCGAGTATGTGCCTGGTGGATCAGTTCAGACGATACTCAACTCATACGGTGCTCTTCCAGAGCCGCTGGTTCGCAGTTTTGTTCGGCAGATTCTGACTGGCCTTTCATACCTACACAACCGAGACATTATCCATCGCGACATCAAGGGAGCCAACATCCTGGTGGACAACAAGGGAACCATCAAGATTTCTGATTTCGGTATTTCAAAGAAGCTGGAGGCCTCCAATATTCTAAACGGCGCCAACAACAATAAGCACCGCCCGTCACTACAAGGATCCGTTTTCTGGATGGCGCCTGAAGTTGTGAAGCAAACATCGTATACCCGCAAAGCAGACATCTGGTCGCTTGGATGTTTGGTGGTGGAGATGATGACTGGTAGTCACCCTTTCCCCGACTGCAGTCAGCTCCAGGCTATCTTCAAGATTGGGGGCGGAAAGGCGGCTCCTACAATCCCTGAACATGCGAGCGAGGCAGCCAAAGAGTTCCTTGCGCAAACCTTTGAAATTGACCACAACCTACGACCTAGTGCGGACCAGCTGATACTCAGCCCCTTCCTGATCCCAATCACCTAATTGTGATACGGGCGGGTTATCAGGCTCCATTGGGGGTCCAAAGCTGAACGAATTACGAAGTGCTCAATGTTGCTATTGGTGGGATACGGAAGCTGCAAGGCTATTTATTTATTGAAGGGGTTGAATTTGGAGGATTTGCTCAAATCATGAGTAGGAACGGAGTGGAGTGGTAATCCCAAACAAGGCCTGAGAGAAGCAGAATGTGTTTTTAACTTGCAAAGAAGATGATGCCTGTGCGGCGTATGCGTGATGAATGATTGGCGATACCACGTTCGCTCTGATTTAATTTACCTGAACTAGAGGATTGCATCAGGATTGGGATGGATGAAAGGCAGCATTTTCTCTTTAGACGCGGGACAAGGAGTTTGATAGATGAGAAGATGAACGAACGTATGTACCTGAGTTAGTAGTAATATGAGTCAAAAGAGACTAAAGAATTCCAAGAGACAAGACAGCCCGAGGATTGTGACAAAGACAAAGACAAGGGATTGTACCAAAGTTCCAATTTTCACGGACGTGACTTGATTTGCTCGCTCGAATTCTTTGTAGTGAACTCGAAATGCATAGATTTTCTTGGTAGTAGATGGTGCGAGGCGGAGGCTTGAAGCGCCTTGCTGCCTATTCACACACACAACCCACAACCGTCAGTCGAAAGTCCCGTTTGCCTCGATGCGTCAGGCCGCCCAGACGGGAGGCGATTCAGTTGTCTGCCATTCATCATACAAGAAAGTCGAGGACGACACAAGTTCACGCCGACATCTCGTGAGCTCACGCTGATTTTCTGAGTCTACGCCGAACATCCACTTTTATTATTGGTACGTTGAAAACTGCTGGACGATAGCATACGGATATGCATGCTCAGTCTCGACTAACACACTGGCTTAGTTAGGGGCTATATAAGCCAACCAACGACCAGAGCAACCATGAGCTCTCAGGGCGACAGCCAACCTTCGCAGGACAGCACCATGACGCTCATGCAGGAGAATATCTCAGAGGTTCTCTACTTTGCATACGGATCAAACCTCTCGACTGAGCAGATGCGTAGGCGCTGCCCATACTCCACACCCGTTGGCCTCGCATATCTCAAGGGCTGGAGATGGATCATCAACGAGCGCGGCTATGCCAACGTCGTGCAGCTCCCTATCGATTCAGATGACGATGAGACGCCAGAAGCTGAAGACAACCGCCAGCTGAGCACAAAGGGCAAGGGCAAGGGCAAGGGCAAGGAGCAGCACAGGCCCGAGGAGGGTGTTTTTGGGCTGCTGTACCTTGTTCCGGCAGAGGACGAAGAGAGCCTCGACAGATATGAAGGGGTTCCATCGGCATACCAGAAGTTCCAGGTGGATGTCAAGTGGGCGAATGCGAACAAGGAAGAGGACGAGACGCTGAGAGCCTTGGTGTATGTTGATGAGATGAGGGTTGAGGAGGACGTGCCTCAAGAGGAGTATATCGAGCGTATGGAGGATGGAATCGAGGATGCTGTTGAGAATTGGGGGATGGACGAGGACTATGCGGATCGGGTCATGAGGAGATTCTGGACTGAGAAGGACTGATAGATATCACGGCGACATTGGGATTGGGATTGAGATTGGTCTATTCTCCGAGGATCCATGTTTGTTGGCTGATAAGTTGTCTTGCTTCCCTTTTGCCATCTTTACCTTTATGTCAGAGCAAATCTAGTTGGTGCAGTCAGATAGATATACGCTGGGGCCAGGGCAGCACCGTCTTTTGGCTCTGACGATCTTTTAGAAGTCCAAGTTGAAGCAAAAGGTAGATGAAGTGACTGGTGAGATTACAGCGTATGAACCACTAAACATTCAGCGTCTCTCCCTCCTCTACCTAGTTCTGGTCTCGGACCTCCGAGCTATACCCGGGCAGCTTGAACCTCTATATAACATCCTCTCGACTTGTATAAACAACTTTTATGGATTTATTCGGCTGGAATACGGCGACTATCATGGCGTCTTGCAAACAATTATCACGGCACATCATCCATTCAGTTAGGCTCTCCCAAACCCGCCTGATGACTACCTCAACACCAGCCCCAAGCTTCCCTGCATGGTTTGCGCGTGGTGGAACATCAAACGGTCTCGTCATCCACCGTAGAGATCTTCCTCCAGAATCTCAATGGCATAAGATACTCCCTTCAGCAATGGGCTCGCCCGATCCCTACGGACGCCAGCTCAATGGCATGGGCTCGGGCATCTCGTCGACCTCAAAGATCGTCATCCTTGGACCACCTTCGAGAGAAGACGTGGATGTGGATTTCACATTTGTGCAAGTTGGAATACGCGACGGGAGCCTCGATATGGCTGGGAATTGCGGTAACATGTCGTCTTTGGTTGGCCCTGCAGCGTGGGATAGTGGGCTGCTGTCGGCTCAGGCGAAGACTGTTGAGCAGGATGAGAATGGATTGCAGTGGGCCACCGTGCGGTTCTTGAATACCAATACTAATAAGGTCATGAGTTCAAAGTTCCGAGTTGAGGGCGAAACTCTCAAGTATACGCACCAGGGAGATTATGTCATGGACGGGGTCCCAGGGACAGGCTCCAAGATCATCATGAGCTTCATTGATCCTGCTGGTGCAAAGACCGGTAAAGCTCTTCCGACTGGAAACCCCGTGGATGTCCTCCAGCTGCAGGACGGAACCAAGATCAAGGCATCTCTGGTTGACGTGGGCAATCCTGGTGTTTTTATCAGTACTGAAAGCTTGGGACTTGCTGATCACCTGTCTCTCACGCCAGCTATCGTCGAGTCAAACCCCGAACTCAAGAAAAAGCTTGGAGAGATACGTCGAGCCGGTGCTATTCTCATGGGCCTCGATCCCAACACGGAGAGTGTTCCCAAAATTGTCCTTTTGTTCCCCTCGAGTGGTTCGCCAGACATTGATATCAGATGCCTTGCTTTGTCGATGGGCCAGGCACACAAGGCTGTGCCGTTGACTCTAGCGCTCTGCCTCGGGGCTGCTTCTCAACTCAAAGGAACACTTGCGTCAGATCTGATAGGGGGCCAGTCAAAGGAGACGGTTTGTATTGGGCATCCGAGTGGCAAAGTTGACATTGGGACTGTCATTCGAGATGGGTATATTGAGTCTGCGCAACTCTTACGGACGGCCAGGATACTCATGAAGGGGGATATATACTACTGAGAACTTGATTGAATGTGTTGCTCACAAGTTTCTGTGCATTATTGTCGTCACAATTAGGGAGGGATATTGGGGTTGGCCGGCTTTTGCAAGGGTTCAGGTGGGATTTGGATGAGTCGAAACACATGAAATGTCGCCCGACTCCGGCAGTTAGAAATACGATGCTCCAATATCTCGATTGATACTACCTCGTAACTACATGAATATGTATTCATATGTTCCAGAGAAGAGACATGGTGAAGTTGCAAGTGGTTGATGCCATCACGTGATGAGCAAGGGGTTAATTAAACCATCACCAAAACAACTGCCGTGTGCCTGACTATTCAATACCTAGTACCTATTCTGATTACACAAGTCCATTGAGTTTACCCTTTCTAGGACTCGAAGTTCTTGGGTCTCTAATAAGTCCTGCTCGTCGAGTCGACTCTTCTATCTGCTGATGATGATGATGATCATAATAGATTGTCAGAAAGTTGCACAATAATGGCTGACCTTGAACATCCATACTTTCCGGTTGACGCCGTTATCCCAGGATATCTCCCCAACAGCACACCAGTGGCAGAGTTGATAGTGACCTTTGGTGCAATCGTTGGCGCTGTGATTGGCCTCACACTTTGGCAAACGACACGTACTGCAAAGCCTGTACGGCCCATCGATAGGTTTGCTGCTGCTTGGTTTGCGCTGTGTAAGTCAAGCCATGCACTTGTACAAAAGCAGAAGACGAAAAGACTAACTGGGAGTGATGGCAGGCTGTTTCTTGCATATCACCTTTGAAGGTGAGACAAAGAGATTGACCCCGTCACAACGCCAGGATGCTTGCTTACTTGTCAAGGATACTATCTTGTCTACCGCTATCAACTCCCTGGCATGTCGACCCTCTTCGCCCAGCTGTGGAAGGAATACACTCTATCAGACTCCCGCTACCTGACCCACGACATCTTCACCGTGAGCGTAGAGACCATCACATGTGTAAGTTGGGCATGCTTCTTTCGCTTCACTGGCTTACACAGCCTCAACAGCTCGCCTGGGGACCCCTCTCATTCCTCGCCGTGGTAGGTATACTTAGGGATTGGCACAGTCGCCACATCGTGCAGGTCGTCGTCTGTACTGCCCATGTGTACGGTGTTGCGTTATATTACCTGACCAACTGGAATGAGTCGAGAGTGCACGGCGTGGCGTACAGCCGCCCGGAGACTGTGTACTTTTGGATCTACTATGTTGGCTTCAACCTCCCTTGGGCCATTGTACCTATCGGTGAGCTAGACTGCTAACTTCAAGCACTCGGGCTAACTTGAGGATGTAGTGCTGCTGCGAGATAGTTGGCTGCAGGTTTCCAGGGCGTTTGCAGCCTTGGAAGAGAGGAAGAGGGAGTGATGGATATAGGGCGTGGAGTACAGGTTGATGCTGTCACAGGTTTCAGGTGAAAGGTCACCTGTGGTAGATAAAAGTAGTGAAACAACACAGCATACAGCAGACTGCTCTAGAATCAAGTCATGGGCTGATACTACAGTACAGTGCTATGCAGTACAGTTGGCTGTGTAGACCGAGAAATGCATTGTGTTAGTTGGAGCCGCCCCCTATACGGTTCTTACACATCGTCAAGACAAGCTAACAAGCAAGGCTTCAATTGTACTCGTTGTGTAAAGCTAGCACGCCTTGTCACGGCTAAGGTGACATCAATGTGGTGTACTGTTTCATAATCACCAAATTCTATTCTCCTCTCACAGTTCCTTTCCACTCAAACCTCGCCCAGACAAGGTCTTCTCTACACCGCCAGGACTTTGCCTCCCACCCTGCTTCACCCTTGTCCCCGTCTGCAAATTATAACCAGTCTACTCCGTAGCGAGACCCATATCCCGTCTCGCCTCACTTCCATAACCGCTCTTACCGTGCTGTCGGATCCCGAACGTTGTGAGCCGCGCCGACAGCACAAGCACTTATCGGGGGCCTCAACTCCTCTTCAAGGCTTATTCTGTGGTGGGCCTTTTTGAACCAGTCACTTGGTCTGTTGACACCCTTGCTTCCATGCCGTCCTCTCCAGTTCGTGACATGACATGCCATGAGGCTATCGACATTGGCGAACTGCTTCAGGATTCTCTTTAGAGGCGGTTGCCTATAGGCTATGCCAAGTGACAGTAACACGGCATCCCGATGGGCTGGACGCTATATGCATATGCGTGCATGATATCCAGTCGGTGAAGAATATGGTCAGCCACTACAGAGATGAGCTGTTCTCAAATCTACTGGCCATGTTTGATATTCATTTGTCCATCATCATCATCATCATCATCATCATCA